ACACTGCATTAAGAATATACCTTCGTTTTATTTCCTTTTTCCCTTATCACATAAGATTTACTGACTTCACATCAGCATTTAAGTATTGTTAACTGTATGTAATAGTACTTGAGTTGGGAACTGATGCATTTCTGGTTATATGAAGGATAGTTGTGTTATGTTAGGCATAATTATGACCTTATTATTGTCTTTATTTGAAGATTATGTATGATCTCAGCAGATCTGTACGGGTTCAAGTTGACAAGGGGGGGACTTGTGATGGTTAATACTGTCAACTTGATTGAATTGAAGGATGCAAAGTATTGATCCTGGGTGTGTCTGTGAGGGTGTTGCCAAAGGAGATTAACATTTGAGTGAGTGGGCTGGGGAAGACAGACCCACCCTTAATCTGGGCGGGCACCATCTAATCAGCTCCTAGTGCAGCTAGAATATAAAGCAGACAGAAAAATGTGAAAAGACCAGACTGGCCTAGCCTCCCAGCCTACATCTTTCTCCATGCCGGATTCTTCCTGCCTTCTAGTATCAGACTCCAAGTTCTTCAGTTTTGGGACTCAGACTGGTTCTCCATGCTCCTCGGTTTGCAGACAGCCTATTGTGGGACCTTGTGATCGTGTGAGTTAATACTTAATAAACTCCCCATATACATATCTTATTAGTTCTATCCCTCTAGATATATATATATACACACACACACACATATATGTATCTCCTATTAGTTCTATCCCTCTGGAGAGCCCTGACTAATACAGTGCTCATCAGGATAAAAGCTTTCTGATTTCGCCAAGTTCAAAAAACTCTAAGCTATCATAAGGTATCTCAAGTCAAGTAACAACTCTTCCATTCGTCTTTAATTTCTCACTCCTTGCACCTTCAACCTTCCCAGTTAGCAAACTAGGGAAAAAATAAGAGGAAAAGATTTACGAATGGCCACACACCACCACCATTACAACCCCTTCCACACTGCAAATGTCTAGCCCAAAGAAGGTCCCAGCTTAACTTCATGTCAAATGTGGAGCTTTTGTGTTACATAAAGCTGGACATACTTAATTACTGATTTGAGACTGTGTTTTGCAACCAGAGTAAACACACACTTAACTAATAATTTCATGAAGTCTGAAATGAATTACCACCCTAGGGTAAGGGTTGAATTACCTCCACTGAGCAGCTTTAAGAGTCAGTAGGTCACATAAATAAAGTTGTTGTTATGATTACACCGCACTGTTCTAGTTGTTCAAAATACTAGTTTACTGGTACATTGTATTGTATATGGTATTTTTTACTTCCCAACAAACTAACAAGAATCAGACCAACAGCAATTATTGCTATCCTCTAAGACATTAAAACAATGCCTTTAAAATTCTGGTGAAAAATTAATTTAAAACTAGAACTCTATTTCCAGCAAAATATCTACTCAGTGTAAGGCAGAACAAGGATATTTCAGACGTATGAACTTAGATCATTTGTCTCCATTGGCCCTTTTTGAAAATTACTCAAGGAGATACTCTAGGAAAATAGAAAAAGCAATCTATGAAGGAAAATATGAGAATACATAACAGGGGCAGCTGAGTGTAAGCCAAGGAAGTAGAAGAGAGTGACTGTTTTTAAAAGAGAAATCTTTAAATACAGTCCTATGCATTTCAGGTATTCTCCTTCCTCCTCTGCAATTCTTGTTAGATTTGCAATGTCTGCAATAAATCACATTTACTTAAACATAATCCATTTAAAGGCTGTTTATGGGATTAAATGTTAGTATTAATTTTCAGACAAAGCATAGAAAATAGAATTAAGACTACAGAACAAATGTAAATGTTATCAATTATGACAACATGCATAATAATGTAACTCAAATCAAGTCAGTAAAATGCTCTAAATGCCTCTTTGTCACAGCGGAGTCAATAGATACCATGTGAAGTGAATTATTAAAAAATAGAAACGGAACTCAGTCATTTGTTATAATAATAACTACAAGAAAATTAAGAGAAATATTACTAAAAATGATTACTCAATGAAGGTGAGAAGGATTCACTTTATTTTATACTTTAGCTCTTTAATATGACCTGTATTTTCTATCACGCTGTAGGTATTACATTAAATATCAGAATGCAACACCATAAAATAACATACTATGCATAAATATGCAACGTACTTTTCCTACATTTTAGTAGCTTTTTGTCACATAGACGGTCAACCTTGCATTACTAATCTAAACTCTTACAAGCCGTAACACTGAGTGAATGAATCAACAAATCACTTCTAAATATGACTTACTACCTGAAAGAGAATACTTATACCGTTAGAAGATGAAAATGTTTCTGATGACAATCACCTCCATCATTCCAAAAATCCTTAAATCTGATGTGAGTCTACCTCACATACCATAATCTATAATTATGATGACAGAAAAACAACAAAACACTAATCTGAAAAAGTACAAGATTATAATAAAAAGCTTATTATAACCAAAAAGTGATTAAGCTTTATTTTATTCAAATATTTTATACAATACTAGAATCCAATGCATGTTTTAGAGAGAAAAAATATTATTGGCATTACCTAAGTTAATGCTATTATTTGAATTCATACAAATCTATTCTTCTTCTAGAATTACTAAGAAGCTATTATAATTGTAAATATTTTTATTTTAAAATAAGTGCCAGATATTTTAGAACTCTAAGGTAACAACTGCCTTACAAGAAAATTCATTACCAGAGCTAGACTTTTATGTAATTTTCATAACAATAAACTAAACTCTTAACAGGTTTTATGTAATTTTCTTCATTTTCGATCTCTTTGACCAACCATTTTTAATACCATTTTCTTTAATCACTGGCGAAGATTTAAACTACCAGTCTGATTACAAAGTGAAGGTACTCAAGATATAAAGAGATCATTAAATGGAGCATAATGCTATTTCATTCTACCTTTAAAGAGACTAAGTAAAGTCTGACATTACATTTTGAGAAAAGAAATAACAAGATATGACCTGGGAGTGATTTCTTTCAGACAGAGGTAATTTCAAGCAGAAAAGTTAGCAGGTGAGCAGACATGATCATGATTACATTGGGATAGGTGGCAGAGTGATCCATTGAGCTGTCTCTGCTACTAATAAGCCTGTGTCCCTGAATTAACTACTTACTAGTAACATTTGGATACCTCCACTGTCCATGTATAAACCAAGTAGCCTGGAATATGTAACCTCTAAATTCCTTTTCCGGTAAAATAATGATACCATATGAGTGAACGGATCTAAAGATCTGAGAGTTAAGTATGACTTAATGCAAACAAAAACAAATATCATACCTTTGTATTGCCTTTCATCTTTGTTTTACATTTGTTTTGTTCTCTGGCTTCACGAAGACCTTTCTGAGTAGGACCTTCTGGTGTATTTTCTTTTTCGCGACTACGACCAACTACAAGATAATATAATTTATTCTTAATATTTGCACTGTTTATCTGTATAAAATGATTGCAACCAAAAATATGAAAACCAAGATCTTAATGATGCATGTATTTTTTAAAAAATTCATTAAATTAATGATACCCAAACCATACCAAATGCTTTAGGTGTGATCTCAAGATTCCATTCCCAAAAATGCAGAGTGGCATTACTACAAGGTTAACTAAATACATGGTGAGCCAGTTACAGAGCCCAGTTATGATATATCCAAATTCCTGTTATCACTAGGCTTTGTGTGTTTATAAAGAGAGTTAAAGATGGTGAAGAACAGAATGATAAGAAATGACGAAACTTCCCACATGAAACTAGATAATACATATTTTTATTATAAAAAAGAGAATATTGTATTAATAAAATACTATTGTCTACGCTTCCCTATGTTAAGGACAAAAAGAAAAAACACAGGGTAATATTCAAAATAGTTGTAACATTAGTCTCCTACTTCTCATGGACATAATAAGCAGTCTTAATGGAATCATTTGAGAGTGGGGAATTGACAGAAAAAGTTCTCACATTTTTCTGCATATAATACATATACATATATAAGTACACATATTTCCACTTGTATTTCTAAACAGTAAGTTGATTGCAAAAAACTAAGAAGGTTATAATCACTAACACAAATAAACAACTAAATGTTACAAATTATAACACTAGATTTATAACGGAGAAAAGACGATGAACAAAGAAATATCTGGATGATTTCAATGTCAAGTCTCTCTTAAGAAATCCTGAGATTATAAAGGCAGGGAAGAAAATGGCTGACATTTATTTTATTTTATTTTCTGACTAATTTTTTCTATTCAATACCAGTTCTAGACAAAGGAGAAAATCCTCAAAATAACTCCCACGATAACGTTAAAAAATGTTCCATAACCCCATGTTACATGAAAGTACTTGAGAGACCTGGGTATCCAAACTGCCTGTCCTCCCCGAAGGTGCTATAAGCTAGAGTCCCACAGCATCTAGGATGCTGAAGTCTAGAGGAAAGGCAACAATTACAGCTTGCTGAGATTAAGGGAAAATATTTACTTCTGATTCTCTTTTATTATATTTTCCCCTTCAAATTCCAGGGTTGTCAACCTGATATTAAAAACAATAACTAACATTCAAGCTTCATTGATGTTTTACCACATAATGTGCACTATTCTAAACAACTTATATATACAATTTTATGCAATTATGTAAACAATCTTGTGAAGGTCACACTACCTTTTGTTCCCATTGTATATGAGAAGGGGTTTGCATATAGTAATATCAGAAGAAAGAAAAGAGAAATCAGTAGGGAGAAAAACTCAAGAATCCAACAGATAATTCCAGCAATATAAGCAGATTTCATGTAGCATGTAAGACACTGCTAAAGGCCACTTCATAAAAGAAATAAAATTAAAAAGCAAGCAAACAAACAAATATGGTAAGAATAACAAAGGTGGAAAATCCAAAAGGGTATGGTTTATGTGTATATGTTGTTGCCCTACAAACAAAACGAAAAATACACACTTAATAAAATTTTAGGAAAGTATTACACATTTAAAAGCAAAACTTAGGAATAAACACTACAGAATGTACAGAGTACTGGCAGAAAAAAATGTTTTTCAATTATTTCTCAATGTAGTGAGAATAAATATGATTTCCACTCTCCAGCAAATAAGTATCACTTTTACTTACACAAAAATTTACAGAACAAATGAAAGGTGCAGACAGTAAAGTCTGTATCACATTCAGTCTTAAGTGCATGTAATTCTCAGATTCTATACAGCACTTCTCAATGTTGAGTAATATCCCAGCAAAGTCTTTGTCTCTATCACAGCTTCTCATGGCTGTCATCTAATGCTTATTAATGACAAAGGCTATGGAACCAACAGGTACTCTGTAGTTTTCCAAATTTTACTTAGGTAAAGTCAACATTTTAAGGCATCCATACTTTCTTGAGATAAAACAAACAGCAAATAAACAAACACACTTTCATTTATAGAAATTCTATTTATTGTACTTGCCATTGCTAAATTTTACCCATTCAATTGTTCTTTCACGTGTGTACACATTCAATCAATGTTAACATGTTCAGGCTCTTGGATAAATATCAGAAAGACATAAATACCATAATTAAATATTTAAAGAGCACTTACCTTGTGCCACTCCCTAACTTCCTTATAGAGCAAATAAAACTGAAAAGAGAATTTTTTAACTGAAAAAGGTTTTGAAGACATTTTCAATAATTTACCCCAGAGAAATAGAAAATGTCTAAGAGATTGCAACACACGTAAGCTAAAATGAGGAGATTGGTTAGATCTATATAATTAGAATTCAGAAAAGGATAATAGAGGTAAATGAGAAGATGCTATATTTGAAAAAAGTCTCTAATAATTAGACCATATAGACTATATAATTACATGAATTTGGCATCTCAAAATGCAATTCTGAGCAGCAACAAAACACGAACTTAAAAAGCGGCAATTAATTAAACTATAAGAAATAATCAGTACTTGTTCTACTGTTAATTTTGAAGTACTAACTTAAGAGCTACTTTGCTTTACTATATATGACATTTATTTCCTCTTCAAAGCTCTGAAGTCAGCTTTCACAATTTTTCACTTCACCAAGCATTTCCAATTTCTAGAAGGTCATCCTGAATTAATAATTTCCTACACATTATAAGATATGCTAAAATGCAATTATATGTATCATTATGATCTGCTTTAAAAATAGGCATTATTGCACTGAAATTGCAACCTTATAGCAAACAAAATAACTAATACAAGGATGACAATCAAAACCAGTAGATTTCATAAGCTTTTTGAAATTAATTTGCAAAAAAAGTTTTATCTCATAATATGTAGTACTAAAAAGTGCTTTCTGTATAGTGTCATGTAAATATTCGATACATATGACCCTTAATAAAAATAAAAACATCATCCGTAATTTTCAGTTTAAATATCTACTCAATAATAATTATTTCATAGTTTCTCCCAGAAATTTTTCTACTTTTGACCTACCAGACAGAATAAATGTAAAATTGAAAACTCTTTTCAGGTGAGATTAGGTAATAAAGTATTAATATTATCTTTGTATGGCAGCAATTATGTGGTGATTATTTAAAATATATGTTATCATTGTCTGCATTTTCTATAATAAACATCACTTTGGTAGTCAAAAAAGTATGTTTAAAATACTTTGCTAACTTTGCTCCAAATCATTCCAATTTGTGTCTTATTCCCTAAATTTAGATTAAATAATAATTAATGTGTCTTGATCCCAAAGTTTAGAGTAAATGACAATTTGTTGTTTTCTAACTTCAAAGTAAATAATGTTTAATTTGAAGAATCTCTATTGACATGCCAACTTCTGCCAAAAATAAATGGATAGATGGATGGATGGGTGGATGAATGGATAAATGAGAGAGAGGGAAGTATTTTTAAAACTAAACTTAAATGAGCAAGTAAAGAGGGAGGAAGTAATATGAAAATATGAAGAATGACAGGAATTATGAGGAACAACCACTTAACCAATAGATCGTCTTTTTTTTTTTTTTTTTGAGACGGGGTCTTGCTGTGTTGCCAGGCTGGAGTGCAGTGGTATGATCTCGGCTCACTGCAACCTCCAACTCCCTGGTTCAAGGGATTCTCTTGCCTCAGCCCCCCGAGTAGCTGGGATTACAGGCACGCACCATCACACCTAGCTAATTTTTGTATTTTCAGTAGAGACAGGGTTTTACCATGTTGGCCGGGATGGTCTTGATCTCCTGACCTCATGATCTGCCTGCCTTAGCCTCCCAAAGAGCTGGGATTACAGGCGTCAGCCACCATGTCCACCTCGTCTTTTCAAATTACAGCCCCTGACTAAGTAGGATACCAAGTTTTAGCAACTGGAGACATGACAGAGTCTAAGGGCCCACAGACAAATGCTGAGATCAGAAGCTTAGGGAAAAGTGCTTCAAGTTCCATATCTAAAACTAGAGTTCATGTTTACAAAGAGCATAAAATTATTCAGTACAGGATTTAAATAATTACTTTTGATCAGATAGTTGGGATATATAACTAAAAGAAACTATTTCCCCATGTTGGGTCAGAATTTCTTTTGACTAAAAGCCATTTGAAAATATCACAGATCAAAATAACAATTACAAGTTTAATCTCCAAAGTACCTTGAAAATATCACTCAAGAAAAACATGCAATATGTTCTTGTATGAATTAGACTAAACACCAGGAGATAATTTCATAAATGAGTTATCTGTCAAGCATCAGTTTATTTTAATTGATATGTCAAGCATAAACATATAAAATTTAAACCATTAGAGTAGAATGAATCATTAGAGATTAATTGGTGCAAACATCAACCCAATTCATGAAGTCCCTCAACCTTTAAACTGTTTTACATATATTCTTTTTCAGAATATTCAGTCATTTTTGGAGTTACAGTTCATGAAATTATGATAATTTCAAACCATCCTTTAATATTTATATCTGATTATATTCTTCTTAAGTTATCTTAATATTAAAACAATTTTTGATGTTGACAAAAATGTACATTCTTTGTAAAAGACACAATAAAGAAAAAGGGTAGGAAGTAGTCACATAACATAGAGAAAATTATGTTAAAATCCTGATATGTACCCTCTAATATTTTTTCTTTGCATATATTCAACAGGCATATACTTGTACCATATAAATGTTTTTACTTCTTAACATTGTAACATAAGTGTTTCTTATGCATGATTTTTAGAGACTTTTTATTATTGTATGATCAACTATAAACATTCACTGGTGGTTAAAAAGTGAGATTGCTTGTATTGTTGTATTACTATTATGACTGCAATAAACATCCTTGTGCATAGTCCCTTAGGAATCACTGTGCATAACTGATACTACTTTAACATAAAATATTAGAAAAGTAGGAAGGGAGAAGAGATGAATAGGCAAAGCACAAAAGGTTTTTAGGGCAGTGATATTACTCTGTATGACACTATAATGTTGGATACATGTCATAAATGTGTTGAATTCCATAGAATGTACAACACCAAAAGTGAACCCTAATGTAAACTATGGACTTCGGGTGATAATAATGCCATGGACACTCATCAGTTTTAACAACTGTATCAATCTGGTAGGGGATGCTGATAATAGGGGACGCTATGTCTGGGAGCAGGTGGTATACGTGTGGGGGCAGGTGGTATATGGAAAATCACTGTACCTGCCGCTCGATTTTGCTATAAACCTAAAACTGCCCTAAAAAATAAAGTTTATCCTTTTTAAAAAATGAAGCCAGCTCACAAGAGAGAGGCAGCGACCAGGTCCTAGGGACATAATCCTTCTGGATCTAGTCATGTCTGAGAACACTGCCTGTGCCTTCTAGCCATCTGAGCCAAAAAAAAAAAAGTCCTCTTTGTCCAAAAATAAACACAGGTATACTTAAATTTATGCATTTTATTGTATGTAAATTACGTACTCTAATTGTACAGTTAGGTGTGTTTTGACAAATATAAATAGGCATGTAACTACTACCAAAATTAAGATATAAAACATTTCCATCACACCTCGATTTATTTTCCTTTTATTTTATATACCTTATAAACATTACCTTATGACACTATAATTTTTATTTTAATCAGTCACTTTTCTTCTGAGGATATTGGAAAAGGAAAACATATTTCTTATTTTAACCAGAATTTAACATTTTTAATTCTCTGTATTCAATTGTGGTACATCTTGATTTCCTTCTGGCAAATTTTCTTTTTGACCCAAAGAAAGTTCTTTAGTATTTCCTGTTGTACAGAAAGGCTTGCAACAAAATCTCTCAGTTTTCCTTTATCTTAAAATGCCTACATTTTATCTAAATTTTAAAGGATATTTTTATTGGATATACAATTTTGAATTAAAATTTTTTCCACACTTTAAAAATACCATTTTATTGTTTCTAGCCTCCAGTATTTCCTATGAGAAATCAGCCTGTATTTATATTATTGCTTTCAAGATTTTCTCGCTTCAATTTTCAACAATTTCAACACAGTGTGTTCAGGAATGGTTCTCTTTATGTGTATTATTAGCTCTCTTCTTAGGTGTTTAAGTTTATACTTTACATGAATTTGGGGAAATTTGGGGCCATTAAATATTTTTATGCTCCATTTTCATTCTTCTCTTGAGACTTTAATTTTATATATCTTAAATAGGCAAGTTTTCCTTTAATCTGTTATCTTTCTTCTTTAGACTAGATGCCTTTATTGATCTCTCTTGAAATTTACTGACACTTCTGTCATCTCTAATTTGTTGTGAAATACATTCAACAAAATTTTCGATTGGGTGCAGTGGCTCATGCCTGAAATCCCAGCATGTTGGGAGGCTGAGGCGGGTGGATCACTTGAGGTCAGGAGTTCAAGACTAGCCTGGCCAATATGATGAAACTCCCATCTCTACTAAAAATACAAAAATTAGCCAGTCATGATGGCACATGCCTGTAGTCCCAGCAACTGGAGAGGCTGAGGCACCAGAAGCACTTGAACCTGGGAGGTAGAGGCTACAGTGACCTGAGATCATGCCACTGCACTCCAGCCTGGGTGACAAAGCAAGACTCCGTCTAAAAAAAAAAAAAAAAAAAAAAAAATTCATTTTAGTTACTCTGTTTTTCAGTTATAGAACTTCAATTTGGTTTGGTATGTATGCTTGTTTTGATTTCTCAGCTGAAATTTCCCATCTGTTTACTTCTTAATATTTTCCCTTAAGTCCTTGAATATAATCAAAATATCTGCTTTAGTACTTTCTATCTGCTAAATGCAACAATTTAGCTACTTTAGGGTAGGTTTCCATGTATTGCTTGATGTCTTGATTATGGGTCACATTTTCCTGTTCCTATTCATATGTAGAAATGTTTAATTATGTACTAGGAAGTATGGGTAAAAGATTGTAAAGACTCTAGATGACTGTCTTCCTCAAAAGGATGTCATTTTTTGCTCTAGAAGGCAGTTCCATTTTTGGCTGATGACCCTAAAATCCTTGGCTTAATTTTATGCTTCGTAAGGGTGGATCCATGGAAAGCCCTAAATGTTTCTCAAGGCCCTATAACTTGGCAAGACTCAAACTCCAAATTCTGTGTCCTCTCTAAGAATGCTGTGTAAGTTTTGTTCCTCGTTTATAAGGTGGATATGGGATGCTGAATGTTAATGTGTTGTTAACAAAGTGTGAAAGAGGTCTTTCCACCCAGGCATGGCCAGATGTGCAATGTCTCCCATCACTGCTTAACTTCTAGATTCTCTGGCCTCCTCTTGGTCCTATATAATTGTATCTCTCTTGTATTGCAGCCTCAGTCAAGGACTCATAGTAAACTCCCTCACAAACTGAGCCACTCCTCATTGCAGCTCTCTTCTCTGATGTCCTTCCCCACAGATTCTAGTGGCTTCAAAAGCTGTGAACTAGGGTCTCTGATATTTCCAATTATCAGGATTGCCATGCTCTTATTGGCATCCATCTCCACGAAGCTCAGTTTGGAACCTTCCACAGACCCAAAGCCATGGTGATGGCAGAGCTCACTTTATAAATTTTCCTTCTGCCAAGTGCCTTCTGTTACTTGAGCTGTCTGTTTTCTATTGCCTAAAAGGAGTTGTCCGATCTTACAGCTTAGCTTTAGAGTTACTTATACAGAGAAGGCTAGTCTGATACCAGGTATAATGACCAGAAATAGAAGTCCTTCCATTATAGTTGACTTGTTTTTCTCTATAATTAATCCATACATTATATCTATATTTCTTCTTAATCTTTTTATTGAAATTTTAATTTGTGAAATAGCCACCACTTATTCACTTTTAAATATCTCTAGAATATTAATCACTGATAAGGTTGAGAAATCACCAAACTATATTAAATTAGAGCTTCATCACATTTTACGTTTACCTTTCATTTCAGGAGCATGGTAACTATGTCCTATTTCCACATTCTTCAATATTTCTTGAAGTCCAGAAATCTAAAAAATAAAATTAAAAGAAATGAAGTTATACACTAAATGACTTTTAAAAACGTTACATAAAACGCAGTATTTAAATATTCATTGTAAAATATAAAAAATATTAATCTCTTTTAAATTTATACTTTTTTAAATAAAACATAAATTTTAACAAAAGAAAAATATTTTAAAGTTGAAATATAATTCCACCAACTAATTATTAATTATTTATTTTAGGTAAGCATCTGAAACATTTATTTCACAGTATAGTTTCCTGAATTAAGAATACTCATTGTACACTTTAATAATTATTCAATTCTTTATTTTGAGAGCGGTTTTTCCTCTGTTCAAATTGTTTCACAATAACTATCACCTTTATATTTATAAAATATAAGGCAATTATCGCTTGTAAAGTAAAATATGAAGAAGTTGTTTTTATTCCCCAAACTCTTAGCTCATTTTCCACTCACATATATTCTCTATTTTATTAAACATATCTTATAATTAAGAACATTTGTTAGCTTGGTGTCATGATTTACCTGTATTCCTGAAAAACAGACTTAAATTTCAAATTTGACCTTAAAAAGCTATTTCATCTTGCATTATATATGATTATACCAATACAAAATACCATCTGTTCAATTACATACGGATACATACTTTTTTCTACTATCACTGGATAGTAACATTTCTTTATTAATAGAAAATAACAATTTATTAATTATAATCTATAGATGAGTGCTCATGAAATGCCTAGGTTAAAAAAAGTAAAATATAACTATCTATTCCTAGAAGCCAAAAGAATTATAAATTTCAAAAATAAACTTTTTATTTAGAATAGCATAAGATTAACAGAAGAGTTGCTAATGTAGTACTGAGAATTCCTGTTTTGTCCCATGCTCCTTTTCCCCCATTAACATCATACATTGTAATGATACATTTTTTACAAATAATGAACCAATATTGATACATTATTATGAACTACAGGCCATAGTTTTAGTTTTATTAATTTTTACATAATATCCTTTTTATGTTTCAAAATCACATCCAGAATACCACCTTACAACTAGTTTTTAGGTCTCCTTAGCCTCCTCTGGACTGAGACAGTTTCTCAGTCTGATATAGTTTGGATATTTGTCCTCTCCAAATCTCTTGTTGAAATGTGATCCCCAATGTTGGAGGTGGGGCCTAGGGGAAAGTGTTTGGGTCATGGGGGCAGATCTCTCATGATTGGCCTATGACCCTTCCCACTGTTCATGGGAAATCTGGTTGTTTCAAAGAGTCTGGGACCTCCCTCCTCTCTCGCCATGTGACATACTTGCTCCCCATTCACCTTTCACTGTGAGTAAAAGCTTCCTGAAGCCCTCACCAGAAGCAGATGCTGGTGCTATACTTCTTGTACAGCCTGCAGAACCATGTGCCAAATAAACCTCTTTTCCTTATAAATTACCCAGTCTCAGGTATTCCTTTACACCAATACAAAATGGACTAATACACAGATTTTCCCTGATTTTAATGTCCTTGACAATTTTGGGGAACATTAGTCTGACAGTATTTTACAGAATAGCCCTAGATTTGAGGTTGCTTGATATATTTCCCACAGTTAGACTAAAGTAATGTATTTGCAAGAGGAAGACCACAGGGGAGTGCCATTATTATTAGCATATTACATCATAGATACATGCTACCAACATTACTTAAAACTGATGATGTTAACCTTGATCCTTTGATCACATGATGAGAAGTCTGCCAGGTTTCCCCACTGTAAAGTTACTTTCTTCCCTATTTCCATTGCATTTCTGGTTGCAAGTCATTACTTACTAAGTGCAGCCAACACTTAACAGCTGAGTTGTTAAGCTCTACCTACTTGAGGGAAGGATTATCAACATGTATTACTTGGGATTCTTCTGCAGAGATTTGTTTACTCTCTCACATGTTTTTACTAATCATTTATTTATACCATTAAGGAATCAAAGATATTTATTTTATATTTTAAGTTATAATCAAACACTACATTATTTTGTTGCTCAAATTGTTTCAGAAGGTTTGATCACTGGAAGCTCCTTCAGGTTGGATTCCTATAATGACAAACCTGACTCTATTGTTTGATGTTTGTGTCAACAGCCTTTAAGCTTTACCTCCTCACTCTTCCCTTGTGCCCAACATCTGGGCAACTGGATAAGAATGCCTGGGTATTCCCTTGTGTGGTACTGATGGGAGATTCAGATAAGTCAAGCCTCACCTCACATATAAGAGATCTTACCCTGGCCCTAATCCCCAACTGCAATAAAAACCCCCAAGCCAGTCTCCCTTCCTTGCTCTCTAAAGCCATTTCAGAAATGTTTGGGAAGTAATGTGCAGCTCCCCTTAGCAAATTCAATTACACAAGCAGTGAATTTATTCACAGCCTCTGTGTGTGTGTGTGTGTGTGTGTGTGTGTGTGTGTGTGGTGTTATCAGTCTGAATACCCAAATCAAATTTGGTTGGGGATCCGCTGACCTCTGCAGGTGCCCACTACAGTTCCTTTGTCATAACTTGACATATCCCATTATTATGTTGTTGTTGTTTTTCTTTTCTGTTCTACTTTTTGAGAATTTCCTTCCTTTCTAGCACAAGAGAATGTTTCAAGTGCTCCACGCCCATCTAGTATTTTCTCTGCCCAGCTCTAGAATCAGACACTTCTCCAAAGTACCCTGGTTTCCTTTCCTTTTATTAAAGAGTGATATTAGAAATCAAGATCTTAACACTGGATATGCTCATTGCTGGTGGAGTGTCACAACTTCTAGACCCTCCAAGCAGACAGACCTAAAATATATATATATTTAGATTTAGTTTTTAGTGTGTATACACACACACACACACACACACACACACACACATTCAGACTTAGAATCCCATGATCCAAAAAAGATAAAAGATAATTTAGTATACATATATACTTACAAATCAATTCTATTTCACCATTTTTGGGGGTCATGGAGTTCTAATTCAAAATTTTGAACACTATTTTCAATAATTTCATAAAACTAAAAACAAAGTTACAGGTTTTTCATTACATTTTAAATAAATGTTGATTCACTGTCTATTATCTACTAAAGAAATTTGAAAATATGTATTTCCTATTGGATTTTCGTCATCCCACAGTGTATTTTCACTCTTTCATATACAAACTAGCTAATATTCAAAAATTTAAAATTATTATACAATCCTTCTTTATGCAAGGTATAGGTTTAAGGAGAAACACAGTAAATGCTCATTAAGATAAGGTTTTTAAGGAAGTAACAATCAGGAATCCAGGTAGAAAACATAAGATGCTTCTTACTGCTCTTAACTCACATCCTAAAGTTTGGTTGGAAGTGAATTCTCAAAGCATAACTGCATCAAACGTTGAAATAAAGAAATATTCAAAAGATAAGCACAAAAGTAATATATCTTCTAAAGATTATAGAGAAACATTTCACATATTTTAAGATATTTTCTCTGTACACATATTTTGAATACATTCATTCTATAGCTTCATGACACACTACTAATATGTTCAATTTAAAAGGCTAATCTGTGCCTGTACACCCAGGGTATAGCTGATTAGTATGCTACAACAGAAGGAAAGGATTGGTTGGCCATAAATCATTCTTTATATGAAGGGTACACAAACAGTTTCCATTCAATAAGTGGTAACCTTGGCTTGTTCCACAAGGACACACCTGGAGAGCTGACAGGACTAGGACTATATTCTGTGCCCTAATTTGGAGAGTAGGTTAATTAAGCCTTGGTTTAGACTTGTATAAGGGATATTTGACAGTCACTTTGGCCACTTAGCAATTTGGGTTTAGAGAATTATGAGTCTTCCACCTTTTGCAATAGATATCAAATATTTACACAGCCTTTCCTATAACTAGGACTTGCATTGGCTCCATGAATCCTGTGTACCCATTTTGGATTCTGAACAAAATCTAGTGATATAAGGAACAATGTAGAGTTTGGAATTTATCCTGAGAATGGTGGCTGCCACATCCAGTTTCCATTGACAAGCATAACAAAATTCAGAAAGAGTACCAAGCATTCAGTATTAGCATTGTCCATGGTAAAACCTGCACTGACAGCCCAGTGGCGGCAATAGTATCTCCTATTTAAATTTGACTTTCTCAAATTGTAGTGAACCTACCACTTTGAACAGCAGATTTGGGGAGAAAAGCTATTTATAAATCCTAACTGCTCCGTTTTATTTCTTTTTTTCAACATTATGTTAAGAGTAGAACTAACTGTCCCATATTAGATATCAAGAAATTTGCTCTTTAGAATTTTCCAACTAAGGTTGCTTCCAAGATGGCTGAATAGGAACAGCTCCAGTCTGCAGCTCCTAGTGTGATCAACAAAGAAGACAGATTTCTGCATTTCCAACTGAAGTGCTGGTTCATCTCACTTGGGAGTGGTTGGACAGTGGGTGCACCCCACGGAGCGCATGCTGAAGCAGGGCAGGGTGTTGCCTCACCCAGGAAGTGCAAGGGGTTGGGGGATTTCCCTTTCCTAGCCAAGGGAAGCCGTTACAGACTATACCTGGAAAAACGAGACACTTCCGCCCAAATACTGCACTTTTCCCATGGTCTTAGCAACAGGTAGACCAGCAGATTTTCTCCTGTGCCTGGCTCTGTGGGTCCAACGCCCACAGAGCTTTGCTCGCTGCTAGCGTAGTAGTCTGAGATTAACCTGCGAGGCTGCAGTCTAGCAGGAGGAGGGAAGTCCACCATTGCTGAGGCTTCAGTAGGTAAGCAAAGCAGCTGGGAAGCTCAAACTGGTCAGAGTCCACCACAGCTCAGCAAGACCTACTGCCTCTATAGACTCCACCTCTGGGGGCAGGGCGCAGCTGAACAAAAGGCAGCAGAAACTTCTGCAGACTTAAACCCCCATGTCTGACAGCTCTGAAGAGAGCAGTGGTTCTCCCAGCATGGTGTTCGAGCTCTGAGAATGAACAGACTGCCTCCTCAAGTAGGTCCCTGATCCCCGTGTAGTCTGACTGGGAG